GGGGAATCCCTGAGCGCTGCACGCGAGAACCACGCTCATGCCTTCTCGCCTCGAATACGCGCTAAGACTCAGATCGTTGGAGAAGATTGGCGACTTGAATCCGACCGGTTCTACGGGAAAAAAGAAACACGGGAAAGAACATTCCCGGCGAGCATCGCGAGCGGAACCAAGTTTCGCGCTGAAACCTAACTAACTAGGAAAACGAGTCAACGAACGAAACGCAAGACTGTCACGCCTGTGTTTGTGTCATGGTTTAATAAACGTGGTCGAGCGAAACGTGCGATATTTTCGTGAGGCACGCGAGATTACCTGCTGCTTGGCACGGGGAATCCCTGGGCGTTGCACGCGAGCACCACGCTCGTGCCCTTCCGCCTCGCGTATTTACTAAGGCTATTGTCGGTGGAGAAGATCGGCGACTTGAATCCAACAGGTTCTGGGGAATTATCGTATTCCGTTATACAACGGAAGAGCATAACTGAGCCAGTAAACTATAGATTTTCGAGGGTGAATCTGTTCAACGAGGAATACAGTTGCAGAAACATTTTTGCCAAAATTAATGCCAAGTTCGTTTGTTTTTCACTTTGCATGATTAATAATACCAAGCTCGTCCTTAATTTGTCCCTTGGTGTCAAATCAAATTGATGTAATGATAAAGAACTATAATTATCGGTCTGGCCACTGAATTAGAGTCACTCAGGATTATCAACGTTCTGCGTACGTATCTTTAACAAAGTATATTGCAAATCTATTAAGGACCGAGCGATAGCTCATCGATACAACATTATAAATACAATTTGATATTTAAATTTCGTAAAATTATAGATTCTAAATAAAGTGTAGAAACCTTTTTCCTGAAAAAAGGTGAATTTGATGGAGCGAATTGCAAATGAGATGTTACATTAGTACAATTTTGATCTTCAATAGCTCAACTATTAAAATATCGTATACCTAGATCGTAATGATAATAACAAATTAATAATTACAACACATATTATAATTTTATAATATATTATATATCAATATACGATATATATTAATAATATTAACTCTTCAAGAACATTTGTGTACTGTGTTAGCTCCTGTTGAGAGATTATTTCAACAATACTAAATTTCACAATTATATATAAATAGAATCAACATGTAACCATTTACCATTATCATTCAAAACCATAGAAATAATTATTTAATAATACAGTTTAAACTTCGTTCAATCATTATTATTAATATGATTTAAACTCGTGAAGATCAGATATCCAAAATTTTTCTTCCCTCGGCGAATTCCTTTCGGCATGCGATTCGATATTAACCGCAATAAAGAAAGAACAAAATTCGTTGGCCAGTGATCCAATTATGCTGTACGCCGTGCACACAGAACCGAGTCTGGCGACAGAGTGAAATTCGAATTAACGGGACAGGGCCGCGGGCGAAAGCCGAACGCGAGCCATTGGAAACCGACCATTGGGAAATTGTATCGACCGCGGGTTCGCGCGGCCGTGCCGCTCGCGATTAAATATCTGTCTCACCTCGAAAGTGGAACAGGATAACCTTGCACCGGACACGTCAAACACGCCGCGCCGTTGAACCTCCCTTCCATGAACTCGACTTTACGAACGTACGGCAGTTTCGGCTTCACGCTGGACGTCGGCTCTGGGGAGTCACAGATGGTGGGAATGCATTATACGCGCGCGACAGAAAGAGAGAAAGAGTGAGATTTCTTACTGACCGTGTGATGGGGACAGGGAACCCCTGCGCAGGACAAGTCATCGACACCGCGGTGGAGGTGGCCGTCGGTCTCACCACCTTTATGTCGGCGTTCGTGAACTTTGGTTTTGCGCTGGACACCGGTTCTGACCAGAGAAGAGCGGTTAACTGTACACGACTGGTCGAACGAATCGATTCCCTGACACTGAGACTCGGTGTACCCCCTTTTCTCAACGTACGTTAGTGTTGTCTGCTCTTTTGTTACTTGTTTCCTTTTGCACAGAATCTTTTGCTACGTCCCGATAATTTTATCCGCCTTCCATATGTCCATGGTCTATTAACGAAAATTACGTGTAATAACGGCCGATGATTTACTTCAGGCAGACCTTATTCTTTAAAATAACTGGACGGATCTGCGAGAGAAATTTTTCAATTTGGAAATGTTTGAATTTCTATAATCTTCGAAAATAAAACAAAATATCTTCAGTTACTTGTTGAACGATAAGATCATCTTTGAAGGAAAAGAACTCACAGCTGTCAACTAGAAGTCTCAAAATGAGACTTGTTCATATCAGTTGTATGAGTTTTTTTTTTACAAAGTTTAACTGTACTCTTCACTGTACATTCGACATATCATTCCATCTAAGAAACGTAAAGAATTTTCTTGTCTCTCCAAAAACGACTTTAAGATATTTAAAGTTAAGTGGACAAAATTATTGGGACACCCTGTATATATGATAGAAACAAATATTAGAATTGATGCTTCGATAGAAAATAGAAGAAATCGGGACGAGATGTCACGTTTCATATCTACGTTTTGTTTAAATTGTTCAGCATCAAACACAGACGATTGCGTAAAAGCATTTCCACAAAAAGACTTGGAAACGAAGTAAGAAAACTTTCAATACGAAGAAGAATATAAAATATTACATAATATCTCCAGACAGCGATTATTTTTTCTTTATAAAACTAATCTCAACGTAATAAACTAATATATATAATGAATAAAATTTCACCCATCTCGTTTTAATCCTCGGAGAACCATGCTGAATCGACACCATCACTTTTACTTGTTTACACCGTTCGGAGGAAAAGTGTCGCAGTTAAAAATATTATAAACAAACGAACGACATAAACGAAAAATGATGAAAGAAACGTGTGTGTAAACTAACCACGGAACTCGTGCGAACTACAGGATCGTTAGGTCGATGCTCCGAGGGATTAATCGAATTACGCGTACACAGTGTATGAACTTGCCTCGGGGTTTGCCCTACGATTCTTCGCGTACCTGAAAACCGGAACGGGGAACGCCTGGGCCGGACACGGTAAAGTCAAGGCTCGCTCCCGTTGGACCGTATACGTGGTATAGGTGCGCGAATTCTCCGTCATTGGGAATTTCGGCTTCGAGCTGCCCACTGGTTCTAAATACCAGAAGAAACGAATCACCACTAGAATGAAACCCTGACAACCATCTCGCTAATTGTCGCCGGTAATCGAGCCAATTACGCGCGATACCATCGAAACGAACGAGCGAACGAGCGAGGGACGATATCGATTCAACTATTCACGGAAGAATCGCTCCATCGCAAGACAAAGGCTGCTCTCACACTCAAGGAGGACTAATTTGTTTGTTACCTGCCACCTCGCTTCGAACACGTTGCATCGCGGAGAAAATGAATCGAGTGTCCCTCGGTTTTTACCTGAATGCTGGCACTGGGAATCCTTGAACAGGGCACAACAAGGTGGTAACGGTAGCTAGCATCGCGCTAGGGTTCGTCGATTTCACGTCCAGCGCGGTCAATTTAGGTTTCGAGCTTGACAATGGTTCTGCGAATCGAACACGAACCGAACCGAACTCTTTAAACAGTACTTTTTGCGTCTTGTGGCGGTGGACTTACTTGAACACCGGGACAGGATACGCCTGTGCGGGACATTGCAACGTAGTCCCTTGAACTTCTGGAACCTCGAACGCCCGGCTCTTGTCGATCGTCGAGAATTTTGGCTTCGCGAAACCGACTGGTTCTAAAAAAAAACGGGACCACCTCTTGGAACAGTCGTTCGAAGTCTCGAGAAGAAATCTTCGACTTTATTCGTGAGATCGCGGATTGAACTTTCAACCTTCTTGTTCTCTAGATCTCTTCTTTCGTAGACTTGAATTGAAGACTGAGACAGAATATATGCAAGATATTGCAACATTACGCTGCGAGTTCGATTCTCATCGATCGTCGAGATCTTTGGTTTTGAAAAATCGACTGATTCTGGAAAGAGAGACCTTTTGAAAGAATGATTTTAATTCGAAGCGAGAACTCTTCGGTCTTATTCGTGAGATTTTATTGTTCCAAGTTGTTTGCTTCTCGATTGAGAATATCGTTTCACGGATCACGAACCGATCTCTAGATCCTTGCGCGCCTTCTTTTCTGGACTTAATCGAAGACTAGAATAGAATATATTTATACAGCACACTGCAACATTATCCTCTGAAATTCTTCTGGAATCTCGAAAGTTCGATTTTTACCGATACTTTTCGAGAACTTTAACTTTGCGAAAATCATCTGGTAAGGAAATGATCTTTTGAAAGAATGATTTTAATTCGTAGTAAGATTTCTTTAATTTTACTGCCAGGTCACGAATATCGTTTCAATCGATATAAAAAAAAAAACCGATTCCCACGCCTCTTCCTCGTGAACTTACTTGAAGACTGGGACAGGATACGCCTGAGTAGGACACTGCAATGTACCGCCTTGAGCTTGCGAAATCTCGACCGTTCGGCTCTTATCGATCGTCGAGAACTTTGGCTTTGCGAAATCGACTGGTTCTAGAAAAAGAGACGACCTCTTGGAAGAGCGGTTTGAAGTTCGAAAACGAGGGGATTCTCTGGAGAACTGATCTACGCGGACTTGAAGACTGGGACAGGATATGGCAACGTTACGCTCTGAACTATCGAAACCTCAAGCTCGATCTTTACCGATTATCAACTTATAACTTCAACTTGTGAGATTAAGTAGTTCAAAAAAAAAAAAAAGACGAACGCTTTTGGAAGAATGATTTATATTTAAAATGGGAAGATTCCTTGGATTTTGCTGCCAGAGTGGAGCTTCATTCCAATTTTTTCATTCTCATTTATTAGGGAAATTATTAGGGAAACGAAGCAATTCTTTAGAAAACACTTTCTCCACGAAAATTCAAATAAGTCTGCGTGGAATATCGCAACGTTTTGTGTTCTGAGATGTTTGAAGTTTTGGAAGGATAATTTAAACTTGAAACAAGAAGATCTCTCGAATTTTAATGCCAGATCGCGAGTATCGTTTATTATTATTCCAACTTTTACTATTCTCATTGTCAAAATTATAGGAAAAACGGATCGAAATTGTTTAAAGAAACATGGTGGTGACTACACATCTTTTTTGACCAATTAAAATGAACCAATTAAAAAGATTGAAAACAGGATATATCTGCATAGAATATTGCAATGTTCTGAGAAATTTAATCCTGAACTTTGCCTTTGTAGAAACTGACTAAAAAAACAAAGAAGAGCAGTTCAAATTCGAACCAAGAAGATTCCTATCAACTTTCTTTTGTTCTCATTCTCCAAATTAGAAACGAATGAATCTTCATCGAAGAGTACGACGAGCCTTCTTCGTGGACTTACTTGAATACTGGGACAGGAAACGCCTGGGCGGGACACTGCAACGTTTGGCTCTGGTCTTCCAGGATCTCGTACGTTCGACTCTTGTCAATCATCGAGAACTTTGGCTTCGCAAAGCCGACTGGTTCTAGAAAGAGGGACGATTTTTTTTTCTTTTTCAAAAGGGGTAAATTTAACTCTCGACCCGGTGAATGCAGGATCATTTCAACCCTTGATCCCATAGTTTTCGCTGCCACATAAGTGTTACGAATAAAGAAACACGCGAGATCATTCAGAACTTGAACGACTTGAACAATTATATGTGCATCATGTTTCGAACAAAGATTTCTTTCTTTCATCTTTACTCATGTGAATCAAATTGATCATGCATTCGCCACGTGTGTCTTCAATTTCTTCTTGGAAAACGACAGTATCGAAAAACCAATAGATTTCCAATAATTGCCACCATATCCTTTCGAGTTCATCTTGCAACGAACAAATTGTCTCCTCATCGACTCTGAGTGCAATACACATCGTCATTAATCGTTTCCATGGTTTTGAAGTCTCTTTCGCCAAAGAGTATAAAACACCCTGCTTGATTTTTCAAACAAAATACGAGATGTTAAACGCAACAAGACTGCCTCGTATCGTTTCGTCTTTCTTAATCTCATTCCTTCTCTGGGCGAGAAGTTCCACGGAATCCAGGGATTCCGTATTCGTCGACGTGCCTAATATTCTGGGACAGGGTGAGGCCACGGACGAAAAGGGAAAGGGAAACTCGGGCGAGAGGCCTCGGACTATTTTTCACCGCGTGGAAACGCACGCACACACACGCGCGTTCGGCGGATATATATCGACCTACCTAAACGTGGCGACTGGGAACGCCTGTGCGGGACAAAGCAACGAGATGCCCGTGCCTTTCGTTACCCGTAATCCGACGTCGTTCACAGATGGAAACTGTGGCTTGCTGCTCGACGCGGGTTCTAAAAACAGAACGAGCGAGACGCGGAGGTCGCGCGTAAAGCAGAAGCTACGAAGAAGAAGTGTCTTTGAATATGCTGGAATAGGGGCTCCCCCCTTACGCTCCCGAAACAAAGTTCTTTTCACGGACGCGCGATTACACACGTCCTCCTTCCCGAAGAAAAAAGAAAAAAGAAAGAAAGAGACTCCGTTGGTCTTTGAATAGAACGGACCTGCAGCTATCGAAACGAATCGAAAGCTCATCAAGGTTACGAGATGCTCTCTTGTCGTTCCCCCGACATTGAGAGCTAGTCTGGTGCTCACCTATAGAGGGGGACTGGAAATCCTTGGGCAGGGCACAAAAGGGTGACGCTCTTTGACGAAGAGGCGCTGAATCGCAGGAGATCCGTTGGTCCGGATATTTGCGGACGCGCGCTGGATGCAGGCTCTGATGGAAAATATCGAATGACTCGCGAGATGAGAGCGAAACAATGAGAGTAGAGGGTATGTTACCTGCATGGAACGAGGCACCCTCGGGCCAGGGCATCGCATCGCCGAGTGCTATTTTGAATATTTGTTGCCAATTCGTTGGAATAAAACTATAAAATCTTCACACGAACGAAGTCGAGAAATTAAGACCACTCGAACATCTTTCGTCCTCTTGTTGTTAGTCAATTTTAAAAAGGCTTGAACAAAATTTAACTGTTGGGTGACCATTCTCATCGATATTAGCTCAGTTGACTACTTACTTACTGCCAATAATATTCTTCAAAGTGACCTGTTATACCTTGTTTACTAAGGGCAAAATTCACTAATTAATCACTTATGCCACTTCTTCTTCCCATTTCTTTTTTTTTACAATAAACAAAATACAAAGAGATGCCTTCAGACGACATCAGGTGTTTCTATACTAGTTTTTACATAGCAATTCTTCGATAATTCTTCTATAATGATTCTAAAGCAATCATTCTACGTGACTTTCAAGTCCACGAATAAGAATAAGTTTCAGAAATCATAAAGTGTTATTCCTTTACGTAGTATCAGAATGCATTAGTAATTTAATGAAATCAATTATTATCGTGCATATAAAGTATTTTTTCACTATTGAGCACATATAGAATTCTCGTTTTGTGACAAGTCGAGAGACAAACAATCAAGCGAATGCGCCATTTACATTTAGGTCATCCGAAAACGAAAGACACTTAAAACGATGCGAAGAATAATACGGTGCAAAGTAATGCCAGAGCAAAGAGAGAAGCATTGATGATTAATCATTTCAAAAATGACCACCACTACGTAATATACATCTATTTCATTTCATAAAATTAATAAAAATTATTACGAAATTACATTCAAAGGCTTCGAAATTTTGCCAAAAAACACGAGAGACGTTCAAAGAATTATAAATGGCCTAATTTCTTGGACTGTAATAGTCCAAATTAATTTGTACGTATTCCAATTTAACGAATCAAGTTCAACGAAAGCTCATCTGCTCATGAAGAGAGCACTGAAAATCCGCGAGGCATGACGAAGAAGCTCTGAATCGTTAAAGATTACTTGAACCAGACAATTGTGCACTCATGCCGGAAACAGGTTCAGATGGGGAGAATTATACTATTTATGAAAATTGATTCCAGACGCTGTTAAAATGTGATTTCAAAATGAAACTACCAACTGGACCAGAAATTAATTTGTACGAATTTTTTTTTTTTTTTTTCAAGTTTCAACACTTATCGAAATGAAAGGTTACGAGAAGCTCGATAATGAGAGCTATGCCTACCTATAGAGGGGGACTGGAAATCCTTGAGCGGGGCACAGAAGAGTGACGCTCTTTAACGAAGAAACACTGAATCGTTGAAGATCGCTTGGACCAGATAATTGCGGACGCGTGCTGGATGCAGGCTCTGATGGAGAAATCGCGAGATGAGAGCCAAGACAGAGACGTTACCTGTACGATGGAACAGGAAACCCTTGGGCAGGACACAGCAACGTCATCGCACCACCGAGCGTCACTTTAAACGTCTGTGAATCCGCCAACGACGGGAATTTTGGCCGAGTGCTGGCGACCGGCTCTAAGGGATGTACCAAGAAACATTTGACGAAGAATACGTCGATGAGCCCGAGAAAATTCGTATGATTCTTCACGCAGAGAGGTTATTCCTTTGATAAGCCGCGCATCGATATCCGCATATATACATCTTCGATCGCGAATTTTCTGTACCTGAAGGCTGGAACGGGGAACGCCTGAGCTGGACACATCAAAGTGAGCGGCTGGTCGCAGTGGACCGTGTACGTACGCGAGTTCTCCGTCATCGGGAACTTCGGTTTCGTGCTAGCCACCGGTTCTAAGAGAAAATACTTTCGGTGAAAGACGCGCGATCGATTCTTCCCTCGAACGCCAGGACAGGGTAATCGACAATCACAAATTGATTGCTTCATTGACGTCCTTTTGGGATTAACTCGTATGGATGGATCATATTCAGTCAGATACACGGGCAGATAAGATATATTTAAGTTTAAATAGATGTATCATCTCATTCGACTCGAATAATTATCTTGGAATGATTTTACGTTAGTTTGCTCTTTGAGCAAGCGAACGATTCGATCTGTCTCGAAATAAATTCATTGTCTGACCATCGAGTGAAATAATAGTTTGCACTTTGTATTTGTTTCTACGAATAAGTAGTAAGTTTGCACTTTGTATTTGTTTCTACGAATAAGTAGTACTTCTCAAGTAGCATACCAATGTATGCTTCACTTTCTGCTGCGATTATTTA